TCCACTAAAATAGCGGGTGGAATTTTTTCATCGCGGTTTTTCCCCCCCCCCCCCCCCCCCCCCCGCCCCCTCCTAGGCCCTAGCAACCGGATGGTGGGAAACCAAAGACAATCTTATACGTTTTCATAGCAAGGAGTTCCCCTATTACAGACCATTACAAAGAAATTAATTAATTAGATAATTAGCTATTTGGTCAAATGGTGAATAAATAATTAATATATAAAATATTTAGTATTCATTGATTTGGTTTTTTATCTTTTATGTCTTTTAATTTTTTTAATATTTAAGAATGCTTAATATTTCGTTGTTAAGACATGATTGGGTAGTGACAGACCATCATTAGGGTACCATTAAAAACATAGACATTATGTATTGAAGCTGTGTATGACAATATAAATAACTTTTTTCAACATTATGATGTCTAATGAATTAAATAAACTAATAGAAAAGTAATAAGTGTTAACATTTTCGAAATGATTAAAATTTCAGAGCGCGGGTATCCAGTATAAAAATTGTTACAAATCTGATTTATTTATTTATTTGATACTTTTTTAAATGAGTTATTATAAAACGTCTGACAATATATCGTAAATTTATAACAAGCGGAGTTTGTGAGTTCCACATTTTGACCCCTCTTGGTATCGCACTGACAAGTTCTTTTTATTTAATATAAAATATCTATTTTGATTAAACCTTCGAATCTCAATACACTATATGCACAATCAGCTATCTGCGTTGATTTTCCTTTTCTACTCCTCTTCCATGCAATGGATATATAACCGTTTGATTATTGTTTGTTGCTATGTTTTTGCTACAAAGTTGAATGGATTTACTTTTCTATTAAGGTTTTTCTTCGATATTTTCGTCGTATATAGTCTATGATGAGTTTTCTTTCCAGGATGCCCCTGAAAAATTAACTTTTTTTCGAGCATACAATCTTATTGAAATTTGTAGAAGAAGCGTATCTCGAGGTAGACACCTGACAGTAAACAATTTTAGCTCAAACCATTAAGTCTACGAAGAGTTATCTTAAGATTAGGGGTCAAAATTTTGATTTTCGTGCGCCCCATTTTTCTCCGCCAGTTCAAATGCTAGAAAGTTTGGGTTGGTTTTCAAATGTAATTCAGATCTGG